GGGGGGGGGGAGAAATATGGAGAGGGTGGAAGAGGGGGGGGAAATATGGGAGGGTGGAGAAAATATGGAGAGGGTGGAAGAGGGGGGAGAAATATGGAGAGGGTGGAAGAGGGGGGGGAGAAATATGGAGAGGGTGGAAGAGGGGGGGAGAGAAAATATGGAGAGGGTGGAAGAGGGGGGGGGAAATATGGAGAGGGTGGAAGAGGGGGGGGGGGAAATATGGAGAGGGTGGAAGAGGGGGGGGAGAAATATGGAGAGGGTGGAAGAGGGGGGGGGGGGAGAAAGAAATATGGAGAGGGTGGAAGGGGGGGGGGGGGGGAGAAATATGGAGAGGGTGGAAGAGGGGGGGGAGAAATATGGAGAGGGTGGAAGAGGGGGGGGGGAGAAATATGGAGAGGGTGGAAGAGGGGGGAGAGAAATATGGAGAGGGTGGAAGAGGGGGGGGGGGGAGAAATATGGAGAGGGTGGAAGAGGGGGGGAGAAATATGGAGAGGGTGGAAGAGGGGGGGGAGAGAAAATATGGAGAGGGTGGAAGAGGGGGGGAGAAATATGGAGAGGGTGGAAGAGGGGGGGAGAAATATGGAGGGTGGAAGAGGGGGGGAGAGAAATATGGAGAAGGGGGGAAGAGGGGGGGGGGAGGGGGGGAGAAATATGGAGAGGGTGGAAGAGGGGGGGGGGAAGAGGGGGGGGGGGAGAAATATGGAGAGGGTGGAAGAGGGGGGGGAAATATGGAGAGGGTGGAAGAGGGGGGGGGAGAAATATGGAGAGGGTGGAAGAGGGGAGGGGGAGAGAAATATGGAGAGGGTGGAAGAGGGGGGGGGGAGAAATATGGAGAGGGTGGAAGAGGGGAGGGGGAGAGAAATATGGAGAGGGTGGAAGAGGGGAGGGGGGGGAGAAATATGGAGAGGGTGGAAGAGGGGGGGAGGGAAGAGATGAAAGATGTGGGAGAGAAGAGGAGAAGGGGGGACGGGGGAGAAGAGATGAGAGATGGGGAGTTTGGGAGGAAGAAAGCTGGCCATAGCTGGCAAGCTGGCAAGCTGGCAGATGGATCTACAATTTCCTGACTAACAGAACCCAATGTGTAATAGTCAACAAAATAAGATCCAGCCCATCAACCGTGAAGAGCTCAGTCCCCCAGGGTACTGTGCTTGCTCCAGTACTTTTTCTCATCCTCATTTCGGACATAGACAAGAACACAACCTATAGCACTGTATCATCCTTTGCAGATGACACTAGGATCTTCATGAGAGTAGGCAACATAGAGGACACGGCGAACCTCCAGTCAGATGTAGATCAGGTCTTTCTATGGGCTACAGAAAATAATATGGTGTTTAACGAAGATAAGTTCCTGCTCATGCGCTATGGAAAAAATGAAAATATAAAAATGGAAACCACGTACAAAACTCAGGCTAATCATAACATAGAACGAAAAGGCAATGTAAAGGATCTGGGTGTACTCATGTCGGAAGACCTTACCTTTAAAGAACACAATAAAGTAGCCGTCACAACTGCAAGAAAAATGACAGGTTGGATAACAAGAACTTTTCACACTAGAGATGCTATACCGATGATGATACTTTTCAAAACGCTTGTGCTCTCTAGAGTGGAGTACTGCTGCACAATGACAGCACCTTTCAAAGCTGGAGAAATTACTGACCTGGAGAGCGTGCAGAGATCCTTTACTGCTAGAATCCACTCAGTAAAACATCTAAACTATTGGGACCGACTAAAGAGCCTAAAACTGTACTCCCTTGAGCGCAGGCGGGAGAGGTACATAATAATTTACACGTGGAAAATATTAGAGGGGCTGGTCCCAAACCTGCACACAGAAATAACATCACATGAGACCAGAAGACATGGCAGGATGTGCAGAATACCCCCGTTGAAAAGCGGAGGTGCAACTGGTACTCTGAGAGAGAACTCTATCAACATCAGAGGTCCGAGACTGTTCAACACGCTTCCACTACACATAAGGGGCATAACTGGCCGACCCCTCACAGTGTTCAAGAGAGAACTGGATAAGCACCTCCAAAGGATACCTGATCGACCAGGCTGTGACTCGTACGTCAGGCTGCGAGTAGCCGCGTCCAACAGCCTGGTTGATCAGTCCAGCAACCAGGAGGCCTGGTCGACGACCGGGCCGCGAGGACGCTAAGCCCCGGAAGCACCTCAAGGTAACCTCAAGGTAACCTCAAGGTAGCTGGAGTACCTCATCGCGTTATTTTATTTATTTATTTATATTGTAAACAAGAAGGTACATTGTGAGAGTACATAGCATTGGTGTTCTTAGTCTTGCTTGCAAAGCCACTAACAAGCATAGTTATGCATAATATGCATAATTTATATAAATTGATAAAATATTTGTGCCTGAATATGCATGAAAATCTATTGTATCACTAATCATAAGAAAAATACAGACACCTTGGTAATAGCCAAAAGATGGCAAATTTGTGTAGTAATTCAGTAATTCGGATTTCATATGTATTCAGATTGTGTAATTACCTAAGTGTAATTACCTAAGTGTAGTTACAGGATGAGAGCTACGCTCGTGGTGTCCCGTCTTCCCAGCACTCTTTGTCATATAACGCTTTGAAACTACTGACGGTCTTGGCCTCCACCACCTTCTCACTTAACTTGTTCCAACCGTCTACCACTCTATTTGCGAAGGTGAATTTTCTTATATTTCTTCGGCATCTGTGTTTAGCTAGTTTAAATCTATGGCCTCTTGTTCTTGAAGTTCCAGGTCTCAGGAAGTCTTCCCTGTCGATTTTATCAATTCCTGTTACTATTTTGTACGTAGTGATCATATCACCTCTTTTTCTTCTGTCTTCTAGTTTTGGCATATTTAATGCTTCTAACCTCTCCTTGTAGCTCTTGCCCTTCAGTTCTGGGAGCCACTTAGTAGCATGTCTTTGCACCTTTTCCAGTTTGTTGATGTGCTTCTTAAGATATGGGCACCACACAACAGCTGCATATTCTAGCTTTGGCCTAACAAAAGTCATGAACAATTTCTTTAGTATATCGCCATCCATGTATTTAAATGCAATTCTGAAGTTAGAAAGCATTGCATAGGCTCCTTGCACAATATTCTTAATGTGGTCCTCAGGTGATAGTTTTCTATCTAGAACCACTCCTAGATCTCTTTCTTTATCAGAATTCTTTAAAGATTTCTCACATAATATATAGGTTGTGTGGGGTCTATGTTCTCCTATTCCACATTCCATAACATGACATTTATTAACATTAAATTCCATTTGCCAAGTGGTGCTCCATATACTTATTTTGTCCAGGTCTTCTTGAAGGGCATGACAATCATCTAAATTTCTTATCCTTCCTATTATCTTAGCATCATCAGCAAACATGTTCATATAATTCTGTATACCAACTGGTAGATCATTTATGTACACAATAAACATCACTGGTGCAAGAACTGAACCCTGTGGTACTCCACTTGTGACATTTCTCCATTCCGATACATTGCCTCTGATTACTGCCCTCATTTTTCTATCAGTCAGAAAATTTTTCATCCATGATAGAAGCTTACCTGTCACCCCTCCAATATTTTCCAGTTTCCAGAACAACCTCTTATGTGGAACTCTGTCGAAAGCCTTTTTTAGGTCCAGATAGATGCAGTCAACCCAGCCATCTCTTTCCTGTAAAATCTCTGTGGCCCGATCATAGAAACTGAGTAAATTCGATACACAGGATCTTCCTGATCGAAAACCATACTGTCTGTCTGATATTATATCATTTCTCTCCAGGTGTTCTACCCATTTAGTTTTGATTAGCTTTTCCAATACTTTCACTATTACACTTGTCAATGATACAGGTCTATAATTGAGGGGGTCTTCCCTGCTGCCACTTTTGTAGATTGGAACTATGTTAGCCTGTTTCCACACGTCTGCTACGATTCCTGTACACAGGGATGCCTGAAAAATCAGGTGAAGTGGAATGCAGAGCTCAGATGCACATTCTCTCAGAACCCATGGTGAAACGCCATCTGGGCCAGCTGCTTTGTTCCTCCCGAGCTCCTTTAGCATATTTTCCACTTCATCTCTAGACACCTCTATCCGCTCTATGTTGTTCTCTGGAATTCTTATTGTGTCTGGTTCTCTGAAGATTTCATTTTGTACAAACACACTTTGGAACTTTTCATTTAATGTTTCACACATTTCCTTTTCATTTTCCGTGAATCTGTTTCCCATTTCCAACCTCTGGATATTATCCTTTACCTGCAATTTGTTGTTTATGAATTTGTAGAATAGGCCCGGTTCTGTTTTACATTTATCTGCTATCCCTTTTTCAAAATTTCTTTCTGCCTCTCTCCTTACTGCTGTATAATTGTTTCTCGCATCTTTGTATCGCTGGTATGTTTGGGGGTTTGGCCTCTTCCTATACTGATTCCATTTTTGTGTCTTTTGGTCTCTTGCCCTCTCACAATTTCTGTCGAACCAATCCTGTTTTCTGGTCCTGCAATATCCTGTGCAGGTAATCCAAATTTTGGAGGTACCCCCTGTATTTATATTTCAAATTACTATTAATTACATATGCAAATTTTTGGTACTTATGGAACCTATCTCGTGTTCTAAATTTTGGCTGATTGATTTAATGACAACAAATTTGGAACATGTGTCTGCCGTAAGTTTGGGACTCTGTAACAGTTTTGTTCAGTGGCTTATCACACTTTGGTAATAAATTGTGATGCCTTTTGCAAGACATCACAATTATAATTCTATGTATGAATAATAAAATTAGATAAGCTATTACTGAAGTTGCAACTAATTCCTTTCATCTTCTTTTTTGGTGCATTTAACCTTCATTAAAAATTTTGCATCACTGGAAATATATAGCCCAACACACAAAAAGAAAAGTACGTAAGGATGTTACGGTCCGTCACATTATCAAGTTAAGACATGTGGCTGGCTTATTTGTTAATGTTACATTATTGTGACTTATTCTCTGCATGTGAGAAATTAGACCTGTGTATGTAGAAACATATCAAAATACAGCACTGCACTTACATTCCTTCTATTACTGCAAAAACTGGAGCTCCCTCTGAACCCATGATGCACCTGGCATCGGTCAACATAATATCTGCAGCAGTGTTGCCGACATTACTGATGATACCACTACTAAGAGAGTTGAGGAACACACCAGGCACCAGAGAGCCAAAAGGAGAGCTCTCTACATACACAGTCGTACCTGCAAGCATAAATGCAGTCAAGTCTAACAATAAATGTGGTATAAAATATTTAACTGGCGTCGAAAACATTTTAAATAAAAAATCGGCGATGAGCCACATTGCAACGCCTCTGTGAATCTTACATTTCAAAATACTAATAATTTTAAAGTACACATACCTTTACTACTAAAACTTGAGAGAGAGAGCATTCTTTTAGCAAGATTAATAACTTCTTCATTGGAAGCCTTCATGACCAGGTCATTTCTCTTATCATCATCTGGCAACAACTGCAGGACCACAAAAGTGGAGAAGATAAGTCTCTCAAGAGCACCAACATATTCCTTCTTCTCATTCTCTATCAGCTTCCATCCTTGAGAAGCTGGCATTATCCTTGCAAGACTTTCTTTTACGCCTGGCTGAACAAATATCATATCAACGCTGGCTGGAAGAGAGAAGTGGTCAGAGGTTGAGATCTTTAGTGAAGTGGAGACTTGAAAACTTGCACCATCATAAAGGGGCGTCTTATTTTCTTCTCCAATTGGAAATGGAGAACTTGCATTTTCTCTTTTAAGTTCATTATCACCGCTCTTAGATTTCAATAGCTTCTTAAAAGACCACCCGTTATCTTGAGCAGAATCAAATGCCGAATTAAAATGTTCTCCAGGTAAGAAAACTTGGAAATGGGATCTAGTAGCTTGAAGGACTGAGCTCAATAAATCTCCTCTTTTTCTAGTGTATATACAGCCTTTTGATACAAGTTCCTGAACAAGTGGCTCGGCTTTTTTATTCATCAAAACATCAATTACAATTGTGCCATGAGTAAGGATTATACCATTTCCCATGTAAATCCCGGAGCAGCTAAGGCTTTCTTTAGAATTGTCCTCCTGGCTAGAGTATTCTACTATGACACCAAACCCTCCCATTATGCAATATAGTATCCTAATTTCCACTATCGTCAAGTTGAATTAAAGCAATTTGTCCTTTAATGTACACACAACACACACATGGTAAATACAGTTATGAAAACAGAGTACCACTCTCAGTAGTCAGATTTCAAATTTTATTAACATTCAAATTTACAAGTCTTAATTGTTCACTGCTAAGAAATCATATATATACACAGTTCTTTTACAATATTACGGTAAACGCATTTGTTAAAACATTGCTAATGCAGTATATATGATCTTGAAATCATTTCTGTTCTTCTAAAGCTTTCAGAAGCTCCTTTTCTCTCCTCTCATGAAGTTTCTTTATGCATTCTTCAATTTCCTGGAAGGAAGAAAAAATAAGATGATGCATATGAAATACTTCAAGAAATGTGTAAATATTTAATTCAAAATAATCTACCAGAAATTTCAACTAAATATTTCCAGTTTGCAAACTGGAGGTGGTAAAGATGGGTAATGGTAAGCTTTCTACCGCTCACTGGGTAATGGTAAGCTTTCCACCCCCACTCACTGGGTACTGGTAACCTTTCCACCCCCACTCACTGGGTAATGGTAAGCTTTCCACCCCCACTCACTGGGTACTGGTAACCTTTCCACCCCCACTCACTGGGTACTGGTAACCTTTCCACCCCCACTCACTGGGTAATGGTAAGCTTTCCACCCCCACTCACTGGGTACTGGTAACCTTTCCACCCCCACTCACTGGGTACTGGTAACCTTTCCACCCCTACTCACTGGGTGATGGTAACCTTTCCACCCCCACTAACTGGGTGATGGTAACCTTTCCACCCCACTCACTGGGTACTGGTAACCTTTCCACCCCCACTCACTGGGTACTGGTAACCTTTTCACCCCCACTCACTGGGTACTGGTAACCTTTCCACCCCCACTCACTGGGTGATGGTAACCTTTCCACCCCCACTCACTGGGTGATGGTAACCTTTCCACCCCCACTCACTGGGTACTGGTAACCTTTCCACCCCCACTCACTGGGTACTGGTAACCTTTCCACCCCCACTCACTGGGTAATGGTAACCTTTCCACCCCCACTCACTGGGTGATGGTAACCTTTCCACCCCCACTCACTGGGTACTGGTAACCTTTCCACCCCCACTCACTGGGTGATGGTAACCTTTCCACCCCCACTCACTGGGTACTGGTAACCTTTCCACCCCCACTCACTGGGTGATGGTAACCTTTCCACCCCCGCTCACTGGGTGATGGTAACCTTTCCACCCCCGCTCACTGGGTACTGGTAACCTTTCCACCCCCGCTCACTGGGTGATGGTAACCATTCCAACACCGCTCACTGGACGGTGGTGGTGGTGCGTATGATAAACAAATCAAATGATGAAACTAGCTCACTGCAAATGTTAGTTGCTTAGCTAAGAGACCATACATGTGGTCTTTCTTGAACCCATTGTTGATATATGCACTGAACTGTATAACTAGCTTACCAAGACTATAACTTAGGTAAATGAATGTTGGAGTTCAGTCTCTGAGTCCATTATTTGCCTCTGTATCCTATTTCCACTACCACCCACAGGACGGGAATAGGGTGCATAATAAACTAAATTATACTACAACTTGTATTACAGCAGCCCTCAGTTACTCCCTGTGGTAGAGTAAGGGTCCATGCAGGTACTCTGCACATGTCAGGCTCTCGTGGACCTGTGCCCCACGGTAACAAGGAATGTTCAAATGATCGTACCTACTTTGGCTTCCACTTGGAAGGTGAAATTCAATCCACTACCAAGGAAGCTGCTTGCTATAATACAAAAATTCTGAATCAATGAACTCGGCAAATTCTTCAAGATATAAATGGCATCAAAAGGACTGCTATTTTGCCCTCTGTTAACTGTAAGTCAGCTGACTATGTCTGTGATCAAAGTACAATACAATGTTACAAATCAAGCTAAGAACTTGAAGAATTCACACACAAATGGGGTAGTGAACAAGCGGAGAACTATCCGAGTGCCTTTGGATTGCAGAGCCCTATGGAATAAACAAACAGGTGCACAATGGTAAGCACAGACAGGTCACAGCCACAAGGTCCTGGGTGCAATTCCTGAAGTATGACACCAAAAGTATTTGGGCAATGTTCTTTTACCTGATGCATTTATTCACCTAGAAGTATATAGGTGCCCAAAAGCAACTGTAGTGAATAACATTCTGGGGAAGGTCAGTAGTTGGCATGGGGGGGGGGGGACATCGATAAGCCGAATGGCTTCCTGTACCCAACTATGGGAAACCATAAAGTAAAGCATCTATTTGACGTCCTGCCTGGTTTGAAACTGGTTAGAAATAAGTTACCCAACAAACGTGGGATACGTTGGTAGGTAAAGAGCTCTGGAGATGGATCTAATGCTATCGTCGAATTAAACCATTAAAAGCCAAAAAAAGCACACACCAAAAGTACCACCAAAGTAGAAGAGCCCTCAGCGCCAACAAAGTTCATATTATACAGTTTCGAGGCTGGTAGCGAGCTAGCCATCACAGGAAACAATAAAGGATTCTCAACCAAACCTGGCCTAGGATACACTAGGCAAATTAAATTTAGGTAGCGTAGGAGCCTCTCGAGGCACAAAGGGCATGCAGCATCTTCTATAGTTTAAACGAAGATGGGAAGCAAGCCAATTCTGGGCAAATTCCAGACAGGCTTAGGCTTAGCCCCAAGATAAAAGTCTTAAAGGACACTGCTATGGTAGTGGCCTAAAGCAAACTAGAAAATCCCAATGTTAGAAAATCCTGCAACAAAGCTGAAGAGAAGAGCAGCAGCTAGAGAATGAAACTGGTCCATGCCATGAAGTGAGCAGTAAAACAGAGCACACCTTATGTTGAAACAGTTTTAGGGAACAACCAATGGCCTCTGCAGAGCTGGTAGCAGTGGGCATGTATATCAGGCTACAAGCATGGGTACCTATGTAGAGCTGGTAGCAGTGGGCATGTATATCAGGCTACAAGCATGGGTACCTATGTAGAGCTGGTAGCAGTGGGCATGTACGCCAGCTACAAGCCAGGGGTACCTATGTAGAGCTGGTAGCAGTGGGCATGTATATCAGGCTACAAGCATGGGTACCTATGTAGAGCTGGTAGCAGTGGGCATGTATATCAGGCTACAAGCATGGGTACCTATGTAGAGCTGGTAGCAGTGGGCATGTATATCAGGCTACAAGCATGGGTACCTATGTAGAGCTGGTAGCAGTGGGCATGTATATCAGGCTACAAGCATGGGTACCTATGCAGAGCTGGTAGCAGTGGGCATGTACGCCAGCTACAAGCATGGGTACCTATGCAGAGCTGGTAGCAGTGGGCATGTACGCCAGCTACAAGCATGGGTACCTATGCAGAGCTGGTAGCAGTGGGCATGTATATCAGGCTACAAGCATGGGTACCTATGTAGAGCTGGTAGCAGTGGGCATGTATATCAGGCTACAAGCATGGGTACCTATGTAGAGCTGGTAGCAGTGGGCATGTACGCCAGCTACAAGCCAGGGGTACCTATGTAGAGCTGGTAGCAGTGGGCATGTATATCAGGCTACAAGCATGGGTACCTATGCAGAGCTGGTAGCAGTGGGCATGTATATCAGGCTACAAGCATGGGTACCTATGCAGAGCTGGTAGCAGTGGGCATGTACGCCAGCTACAAGCCAGGGGTACCTATGCAGAGCTGGTAGCAGTGGGCATGTATGCCAGCTACAAGCCAGGGGCACCTATGCAGAGCTGGTAGCAGTGGGCATGTACGCCATGCCACAAACGAGGGTACCTGCTTTTATGATTCTGTTATGGTGATGTTGCTGCTGCCGCTATCTCATGAGAATCAGTATAATCAGTAGTTACTTAAATATCAGTCACAGTGCTGCCATTTCTGTCTCAAATGTGGAGATGATTGCCACAATTAAGCTTTTCTGAGGAACTGTATAGCGAGCGCTCTCCTTGATGGTGGATCAAACTTTACGTCTCCTCTCTTGTAACTCCAGACTTTCCTCTTTGATTTAACCACATCAAAAGTAGAGTCTGGAGCATGTACAGTGTACTGGGTGGACCCTGACATTGAAAATGAATGAAAGGGACTTTTCAGTGATGGGATTTAAAAGATGTAATAACCAGCTTGCCTACTTCTTTCCACCTTCATCAATTAAAATTCTTGATTTACTATTTATCTGCATGGTATGCCACACCAATGACTGTACTCTTCAAAGCGACGGTGGTCTGTCAAACAGAATATTCCTAAGTCTTTACATCCCCTTTTCAAGGCAGGTGAGATATCATAGCTAGAAAATATTGTATGCAAAAATCCTTTACTGTTCGCATAGAATCAATGAGCACTTAATCTACCGGAAGCACACGAAAGCCTTCAAACTGTATTATTCCTGGGAACGGAGACGAGATATATCTTGAGGCAAGTTCCAAATTAGCTCCATATGATTACAACATACAGTACTGCGACACACGGTAACCACTGTAACATATAGCTCCATATGATTACAACATACAGTACTGCGACACACGGTAACCACTGTAACATATAGCTCCATATGATTACAACATACAGTACTGCCACACACGGTAACCACTGTAACATATGATTACAACATACAGTACTGCGACACACGGTAACCACTCTAACATATGATTACAACATACAGTACTGCGACACACGGTAACCACTCTAACATATGATTACAACATACAGTACTGCGACACACGGTAACCACTCTAACATATGATTACAACATACAGTACTGCGACACACGGTAACCACTCTAACATATGATTACAACATACAGTACTGCGACACACGGTAACAACTGTAACATATGATTACAACATACAGTACTGCGACACACGGTAACCACTGTAACATATGATTACAACATACAGTACTGCGACACACGGTAACCACTGTAACATAAAGCCAATATTACAACATACAGTACTGCGACACACGGTAACCACTGTAACATAAAGCCAATATTACAACATACAGTACTGCGACACACGGTAACCACTGTAACATATGATTACAACATACAGTACTGCCACACACGGTAACAACTGTAACATATGATTACAACATACAGTACTGCCACACACGGTAACCACTGTAACATAAAGCCAATATTACAACATACAGTACTGCGACACACGGTAACAACTGTAACATATGATTACAACATACAGTACTGCCACACACGGTAACCACTGTAACATAAAGCCAATATTACAACATACAGT